ACGGTTGTCCCAATTGAAACAAGTCGATCAAACGCTGAACGAAAAGATATAGGCGACAAGGAGGATCCACCATTTGTTTTAAAAAAAATATATAAATACACACTCAAAAAGAAAGTACAACACAACAGAGAGTATAAACCATAGAATAATATATTCAAGCACAATAACAATAACCAGAAGTTTCTAAAAAGAAAACATATAAATAGTCTGCTAATTAAAAAAAATACCCTAATTAGTAAAAAGGAAGGAAATGGGAAAAAAAGTAATATTGACTAAATAAAGCAATCTAGCCGGTTCTACTTCTGCATTTGTGTTTTTTGCTATTGACAAATGCAAAATTGTGGAATTTCATATATCCTGTGATTACACAAGATTCGTCGTTACTGCTGGAATCTCGAAAAAATGTGATTCCACAGGACACTTCCTACGCCAATTTTGTATAAAAAATGATTTTAATTTATTAGAATTAAGTGAAATTATGACACTCAATAGGACACAATGAAGAAAAATGATTCACGTAGCCGACCCCACTTAGTGAGATAAAGGTTTATTATTGTATCATTTTAGATGAAATAAATCTTAAAAAAAATTCATGTAAAATATAAACAACAACTACTCTATATCTTTCTTATTGTGGTTGTTTGTTGTGTGCTCTTATTTAACTTCCTCTTTTTTGGTTGCTTCTCATTACCGCTCACAAAATCTTCATTACCCTTGCTCTACGTCCTCTCGATTTGTGCCTATGGGAGATTGATTGGCTTGCCAATTTTTTTACCTAATCACTCTTGCCAGCTTGCCTCTCGCCGGATCCTGCCGCTCTCCTCTCTTGTTAACTCAATTTTGCCCACTCTTCCCCTCTTCCTATTATATAACAGTGAACCGACTAATGAAATTTCAATTGAATTGGTGTTAATTTGTTCGATTTTCTTAATCCAATAATACGATATTACATTCAACATGACCATAAACTTGATAGATTGATGTTTGAACCAATTGTATTTGAAAATTAGAATGTGAGGGTGTGGGCTCCAAAAATTAGCGAAAACTTTTTTGCGATCATTTGTTATTCTCTGCCTAATTTCTAGAAGATAGGTTAGATTTAGATTAAAAAAAAAAAAACACTACTAAGAGATTGTCTTTATTTTGTAAATGTTATGAGATTTGGTTTCAGATTTTTCAGAGGAAAATTCTTACTCTTTACTATTAACTACCCATCCCAATGATGAGAGAACTTTCGATTAAGACTAATTATTAAGCGTAAAATACTTAGAATTTGATAACAAAAATTTTGGTTTTAAATTAAAAAAATTATCACCATTACAATTAGTTGAAATGGTGTAGAAAATGATGGTGATCTAGATTAAGATCTCATAGTTTCAATATCTTGAATTATTGTGGAAATCTAATCTATTTAGTAGAGAAAGTAGTCAACCTAGCCTTCTTAAAAAATTCTCGCATCATGATTTACATTGTCTAAGTAGGACTTATAGATGTAGAGTTGATATTGTTTGAAGGGATAGATTTTTTGTCTTCTTATTTTTTAATGACTCGGTTCTTTTCTAAGGGATCATCGTGAGTTCTTCCCTGTAATGAGATCTCTAGGCCAACTCGAAAAAGTTATGATTGACCCATTCTTCCACTCTTCAATATTGATGTGACTGTTGGTGATTTCAAATGACTTGGTTAACGTTTTTGGCTGCTACAGGTATAGTGAAAATACTTAATGCCTTTCTCATTGACTCCCAAAGGTTCCAAATCTTTTAAGTCCAATATTTCTCGTTGGGAGTTTATAAGGAAGTTCTACATAACTCATTTGGTTAATTGTCTCGCCGTTAGTAAGGCCTATGAATTCTTCAATGAGCCTCATACAAGAATACGAACCATTTTACAAGGAAATGTGTCGTTCTTTCCTAACAGGAATTGTGGCTGATTATATGCTATAAATTAGCTAAGTTGCTAGCTTATGCGTTTTCACCCTCCTTATGTAAGGAAAATGATTGCAACTTCTGCCATGAGTTTACAACTTCAGCCGACTTGAGTATATCTTTGTCTGTGTTTTTCCAATAAGCAATCAAGATCCAGCCGTCCTTGCCATGATACTTTGAGTCTGATTAGCTTTTATTTAAATGGACCTGCGGGCTATGTTTGGGTGTAAAATTTCTTCTTCTTAAGAATCCCTAGTCTGCTTCATTTGATCTTTGTGACCCCTATGATTACTCAAAGTACCTTTGTACCGTACTAATTTTTACTAGGGTGCAGTATAAATTTGTTGTACTCTTATTGAGATAACAAATGGGAAAAAAAAGGCTAGTACAAGAGCTTAACAGTCAACTACTCTTACAGAGTTAGCACCTTTGATAACTCAAGAAATACAAGGATTTGAACCTGGGCCAATTGCTACAGATTCAAAACAACCTTTCAATATTGTGCGGATGTTGATGATCCAAGTCCCCACAATGTTTGGTGGAATCAGAACAAGCGGAAGATCAATCCCTCCATTCTTACCCTTATCTAGATAGAGAATTTTCATGAAGATAGAAATATCAAGGAATCTTTTTTTTTTCTTTTGCAAATGACAGAACTTCACTGAATTTTGAGAATCCTCTATTAAGATTATGCAATTTTGTTTTGCTTCATCATGTCTTGAGATTCGTATATGACCATAAATTGTTTCTTTGAATAAAGAGACAGTTTGTATCTAACAAAAAAAAAAAAAGGAAGAAGAAGGATTTCATAACTCTTTCCTTACTTTTTTTAATCCAATTTTCAAAACCTTATATAATTAAGAAATGCTTAGCTTTTCTGAGTTCCTCTCTTTCGAGATTTATAAACACTAATTATTATTATTACTGTTGTTGTTGTTATTGTTTGGGTGTGTTTTCAAAGGTAATAAATCCCGTCATTATTTTTTTCTAAAAAGCTCAATTTAATCCATCTCTAATAATTGGCAAAAGCATCCACTATTCAAGTGTTGCCTGCCTTCATTTCTCTTAGTTTCGAGGCATACCCACAGACTTTGTAAGTTATTGATTTTGGTACCTAAATTAGTTTGGATCCTATAGAATTAGAAATAATATGCAAAGAATCATAAATGAATCTTCTATTACACACAAATGAGTCAAATGACCGTCTATGTTACAGCAATTCTAAATTTTTCATAAGTTATGGATATATGTGATAATGCATTGATTTACAAAGATTGTCATGTTTTAAATTTTTTCTAGTACTGAAGCTTGATAAGCCTATAACCTGTGGAAGTCAACTAAGTTTGCATGGATGTTATGAATGCCAAGTTGGACTAGTGGTTGAGAGTTTTATCTTTCAGCCAGGAGATCTAGGTTTCACGGCCTTGTGTGTGGGTTGCATGCGTTTGTGTGTTTGTGGAGGGAAGACTTGGACAAGGCTAGTTGAGCATATTGATGAAAATGACCAAATTTTGACAAGCCTGCCCTCTCGCAACAAATATTTTTAGATTAATTTTAATAATTAAATATGGTTTCAAATGTAATTTGTCATTTTTTTTAAAAAGTGACCTTATCAATTTAATTAACATTTATTATACAAAATGGATAACTTAATGGAGGAAATTTTTGTTTTTATATACAATAGACATATATTAATAAGTCTTTATATTTGATGCTTTTAATTTTTAAAGTCAATTTTGTAATAAAATTTATTTATTCGCCACCATCTAAAAAATTTCTAGTTTCATCACTAATTATGCAATATTTGACTAATTTGACATGTAATGTTAGTTTGGCTTGCAATGTAATTTGTCCTTCAATGTGCGGTCTAATTACAAGTCTTTGATTAAGAAAATACTTCGAACTTTGAGAAATAGATTTCTGGTTTAATAATGTTGTACTCGACCTTTTATTATGAGAGAATGTAACACACATAGCATGGAGTTTCAACAACAAATTAATGTTATAGAAGTCAATCATATGGCTTCTCAAGCTTAATAAAACTCAGCCAAAATCCCCTTCCTGCACTTCCTATTAATTTATTAATTGCCTTAGTATAAAAATATCTCTCAAAATACATCTTTCTAACATGAAATTAAATTGATTGTCACATTCTCATTCTCACAAAGCTCTGCAAATTTTTTGTTCCACTACTTCCTCCCATAACTAATTATAACATTCATTACTTTTCTTCCTCAAACATAACCATAATGTGTACATAAAAAAATAATAATAATAAATGAAAAAATAAAAAATAAAAAAATAAAAATTTTAAAAATGAAACAATAAGGTGCGCATCTATTTTTTTTTCTTGAATATAGGTGTTAAAATAAAATTTCTCCAAATATATTGACATCCTCTAAGTTTTAAAAATTATATTGAAAATATTATCAAATCAAATAACCACAATGTGTCACCCATTACTCTCCAATTATAATGTGTACTACAATTTGTCTCCCATTACTCTCCAAATGTAATATATCTCATCTTAACCTTAATTTTTAACTTCTACATACCTTCTTTAAACCGAGCCCCACTTAAATTTTCGGAATCATTCTCGATTCGATTATAAATTAATATTTTACTCATTTTGCTCCCTCTAAAGTGAGCCTTTTCTTAAAACATATATTTTATAATTACTCAAAACAGCATTTTTATCCTTCTTTTTTATTCATTTATCTTTAACTAAGATTTTACTATTTTTGCTTCTAATACTCTTTCCTTTCTTTACTATATTTTATGCATCTCATTTTCTCCTTTGGTTAGTAGGAAGCTTACATAAATCATGAAAAATTATATTTTTTGCTTCGCTCATCATTTTCTTGTCAATAATTGTAGTTTCTTATAAAAATATTAAGCTTTAATATTATTCTTCTTTTTGCATTTTTTATAACATTTTATACTTCCTTACTCCATCAAATCTTCTTTGTTAATATTCGATCTATTTACACACCCATAACTCAAAGAAAATTTCCTCTTCCTGAAACTTTTTTTCTATTCTTTCATTGTGGACACTAATAAACATTTCAAAAGCAGTTGGAGAAAGAAGCTGTTGCGACAGGTATTCCTCTAGGGCGAGTTCATGATATAGATATACCTCCCCCGCGGCCTAAGAAAAAGCCAAACTATCCATACCCTCGAAAAATCGGTTCCTGTTCTGCCCCTTCTCTCATTGAAGCAGCTGATGAGAAAACCTTAAAAACTGTGAATCCCATCCCCCAGGAAATAAACAAACAAGAGGTATAAGTTTTCTTCTTCCATTCTTTTTTGCATCATCTGTACCTTCTTCTCTTTTGCTCACCATCTCAATTTCTTGTCAGGCCCAGGCCTCTGTTGTAGCTAAATCACCGCATCAAACAAAAGAATACTGTGATGAGGCTCGTTGTTCAGTAGTTCTAAATCTTTTTCAAGAGGCTCCGTCAGCTTCCATCGCCTCCAGAGACAAGGCCTCCAAAAGCCAATTAAGCTTCAGAGAGTATGTTCCCACGGCCATGCCGTTAAAGGAACCACCCTCTTTGAAAAGATCTTCACTGACGATCGAAGTAAACATGGAATCAACCTCGAATGGAATGACTGAATGTGATCAGGATCTACGAAGGACAAGCGGAATCAACATGGAACTGCATGCCTTATCAGCAAGTTCTGGTAATGGGGAAACATCTGGTGCTCAGAAGCAACCGAAGAATCAATCAGACACTAACCGTGAAGCTAAGGCGATGCACATAAAGTGTGTTGATGGATGTAACCTTAAAACAACGCTTGAGAATGGATATTCCTCCTCTAGTGCTAACCCATTAATGAACCACACAATTCCAGCAGCTCCTGCTTTCCATTCCTGTTCAGCAACGTCCTATATTTCTCATCCATTTCCAACCTTTCCATCACTGTCACCGGCTCAGTTACAAACCTCTCATGATTTCTACAGATCTTTCCTTGGCATGTCATCAACGTTTTCTAGCGAAATCGTTTCAGCCTTGCTGCGATATTCGGCCGGTCATGCAGCAGCATGTATGTCAGCAGCATCACACTGGCATTCTGATGAAATGGATTCTTCCAAGGTGGAAGCTATTGCGGCTGCTACCGTTGCTGCTGCATCAGCATGGTGGACAACTAACGGGCTCATCCCATTTTTTTCTCCTATCCATGCTTCAGGCTTTGCATTTTCTCCACCAGCCACATCATTTCCTGTGATGAACACAGATCAGACTCCACAAGAAAAAATGGAGCGGCATGAAACATACCAAAACTCAAGCCTTGATCAAACAGCTGTTGTATCATCACCATCATTGTCATCATCATCAAACTTGGAGGAAAATGAAAAAAATTTCTCAAATTTCAACAATTTCAAACCATTATCTGATACTGCATATCATGATTCAGACAGGGCAAAGATCAACAAACACGAACGTTCTTCTTGTGGCTCCAACACAACTTCCAGCAGCGAAATCGAACGATTCACTTCTATTAAGAAAAATGGTGAAACGAAAGATGCGACTATACAAGCACAGACTGAAAATCTTCAAGATGGGGAAGTCAACACTCGCCGCGGTCGAAGTAGTTCATGCAGTAATGAAACATGGAAAGAGGTCTCCCAAGAGGTTATCATTCAAAATTCTTTCTGCTTGTTTCTTTCAATCTTTGTTAGAACAAAAAGTCCCGTCATTTCTCCAATCTCCTCTCTGTCAGGGTCGACTAGCTTTTCAAGCGCTCTTCACCAGAGATATCCTGCCACAGTCCTTTGCAACTCAACTTGATAAACTTGAATCGGTACGTACCTAAATAATTTTCCATTCTCTTAGAATTATTTTTGATATATTTATTTAAAATTGAAGTCTCTGGATAAAGTTCTAAATTTGTGTGGAAATCAGAAGCTTTAAAATGAACCATAAAAAACATTTGTGTGCCCAACTATTGCCCCTCCTATAATTATTGTAAATATATTATTTAAAATTTGGGGCATTTACATTTCTCACAACTAAACTTACATGGTTACATAAAACTCAAATTTTTACTATCACATAGCAGTATTATCACCTTTTTTCATGCATAAATTTAAAGCACTGGAGTGCTATGCATATAAATATGAAAGTTTAGGTGTGGCATCTGTAAGTACACAAGAATTGTGTGCTGCATATGTAGATTTCCCTTCAAAACCCTTAAATTGTCCCTAGATAAAGTTTTACATTTGTTTGTAAATCTAAAATTTTACATATCTGTTAGAACAATAACACATGTAGCCTACAACATCATGAAATATTAAGGACCCCCTTTGTTAGATCCATTTGTACATAATTCTCATGGAATCTAAGAATTTTTTTTTTTTTTTTTCTTACATTGAACCTTTAGGGATTGCATGAGGAGGAGATGGGGAGGACTGGAAGGGATCAAACCACCCAAAACCATTCCCTTCCAATCGAAATTAAACACGGAAACCTTAAGGTGAGGCGAACCGGTTTTAAACCTTACAAAAGGTGCTCGGCGGAGGCTGGGGTTAATAATTATTCAGCTAAAGATGAAACAAATAATAAGAAAATTCGTATGGAAGGATGAGTTTAATGTCTAAAAGCTTGGACTTGCATCAGTGCTTTATGTTACGTAGAAGCTGATTAGTAAGTAGTAGTAGTGTAAAGTGGACTCCTTTGTAGATGGCTCAACTGTTATGCATAAATAATCTTGTCCAGCAATTGCTAGATTAGGACTCCAAACTCCTCTTATAATTTTTCGGCTTGCGTCATCTTTTTTTGTTGGAATCATTATTTGCACATTTGCATTTGCATCAAAAAAGTGAATTTCAATTCCCTTTTTATGAATTAAAATAGTGATGTTTTGATGCGATATGAATCATTTAGGTGGTATAAATGTAAGAAAATTAAAGTTTTGGGGGGGTGTTACACGTAAATACACAAGGAGTTGGGTTGTATGTATGTAAATGGCCATCATTATTTTGTTTGTTGGATGCCATTTTTATTATTATTATTATAAAATTGTGCATCCTATATATATATATATATATATATATATATTTTAATGCTGCATTGGGAATCATTTTGTGCATGTATATCATTTTTTCAGTTTCTTTTTTTCTTTAAATTTGTGTAGACGATTTTAAGAGGATTTTATGTATTTTCAATTTGTTTAGGGTTTTGTTTGTCAAATTGAAGTGTTTACTTGAAGAGCACGATAAAATTATCACATGAACAAGCACAAAAATATCATGCATACGGTCTCATGCGAATAGCCCTATAAAGCTGATGATTATTTTTTACTATTTTTTTTAGTACTGTAGAAATTATTATAAATAATAATAAAATGAACTTATAATAATTTTTTAAAGATATAAAATATGATTTAATTAGAAAAAAAAATGTAAAATTAAAGTCGGCTTCGACGAAGGCGACCTACTGACCTACTTTAAAATTGATTCTTTATTTAATTTTTATAATTAGTCCTCTATAAAATGACAATTGTCTCTAATAATTAAAATATGACTTTAACTTCACCGATGACTTCAATCTGAAAGATATAAATGGGGGCGTTCACAGGCATAGCACACAAATCTTAGGTAAGACTGTTGAGACCCAGAAGAGGTCAGCAGCCGAAATTAAATGCTATAACGTGTAATAAATTGAAAAGGTGGCTCGTGCAATTTATTAAGCATTTGAAACTTAAAATTGACATAATTTATTTATGAGTGGCCAACCATCATATATATATATATATATATATATATATATATGGGAAGAACCAAATTCAAAAGAATGTAGCTTCAGGGGGCTGTACAAGTTTCCTATTATATGATGCACCCATTTCCTTCTTCAATTGAGTCAGTATGTGCTCCATTGTGGACTCTACATGCCAGTTTCCCAGCGTGCTGAACTTCGTTGGCTCTACCTGCATTTTTTTTTAGTACGAAGTATAATAAGCTTAAATATAAACAAAGGAAAATTTAATTTTACATATCTAACGGTAATGATGGTATTTTTGGAATGTAATATCAAAGCTTTATAGCCTTGGATTACATAACAGAGAAATATGGAAAAGAAAAGAAAAAGAAAAGGAAATGAGGCATACCACTCCTGTATGAGGGTTAACACAAGTCATGTTTATTCGAGAGTGGAAGCGCACCGTCGGTGGTTTGATCGGATAGTCTTTGTCGCAAAACAGCTTCAATTGATAGATCCTTCCTTCATGAACAGACTGCAAATAACATTCAATTACGAAGCAAGAGATAGTTTATCATTATTTTAACAGACTGCAAAAGGTGAAATGCACATTTCCATGTATATGCAATATGGCATATTTGTAAAAATTAAAGTTTAGGTGTTAGAAATGTAAATACATAAGAACTGAGTGGTTTGCGTGCAAATTTTTCAATTCTTTTATATTTAAAAAGAAGAAGAAGAAGAAAAACAAAAAGAGTAGTTTTCTTAAACTATTACATTGAGAGGACCAATTATAGTCCCTGTCCAGGAGCGCATGTAGATGTCATCCGCATCCTCCATCCCATAGCTAACAGTCCCATCACCTATACCCTTCTCTCCTCGCTCGAGCTCATCAAGCAGTCTGAAGTTCCGAGGAACTGTAAATAGGCGACAATTAGCTGAATAACAAGTAGGGCTACAAATGAAATGAGCTGAGCCAAGACATAGGTTGTTCGCGCTCGAGCTCATTTAGCAAAAGTATGTTCAAGATTGGCTTGCGCTTTTGGATAGTTTTTATGCTTAGTTTGTTGAAATTCATGTTTGCTCGGGCTTTGTTTAAGCTTTGGCCCAAGCTTGATTTATTTCGTAATTGTAGACTTTTAAACTTACAACTCATTTAGAAAGGTAAATAGTCTTATGGGGGTCAACCCACTGAGCACCAACAAGCTAATTTTATTGAGCTTAAAATAAATTTTAACTTAACAAGATTTAAATCTTTAAAAATTCATTAATTTTTCAAATATGTGGTTTCAAATGGACTCCAACAAGGCCACGTGAGAAACAAACTCAATAGTTCAACTTAGCACTTTACAATTTAATAGTACTATTATAAAACATCCTAATGGTGTGCAATTGAATGCCTAAATAAAAGACGAAATTTACGTGATCATGAATGAGTCTTAATCAAGTTTTATATCGAGCATTAATTGAGTTTTATATTAAATAGTAATTGATCTTTTTAAAGGGCTTGTTCACAAGCTTCAAACAATATTGGTCATAAATAATCAAACAAGAAGTTGCTCAAGCATACATTTCACACTTTTTCTTTATAAAAGTATTCAAATATATTCAATTAGATGTTCAAACAAATAAGAACAAACTTTTATCGAGTAAAAATGAAGAGTAGCTTGTCGAATGCTCATTTTATCTGCAGCTCTAATAGCGAGGAAGGATCAAGTTAGGGTCTTGGCATCTAATTTGGATGGGAATCTATGATTTGATTGGGCCAAGGATCAACGTACTGATTGGGATGGGGATTATTGGCTTAAGGAAGAGGCGATCAATGCTTTGATGCCATCTATGATAAATTGAGGAATAATGTTAATTCTTTCATTGAGTTATTGAAATTATATAGTTGTCAACAACACTATATAATTTTGGGATAAGATTGATTATGATGGGGAAGATACTAAGCTGACTTTAAAGACTATTTGTCAAGCTAAATATAATTTTAGCATAATAGCAAAAAAATATAATCAAGTTGAGTTGATTCGAGCATGTTGTGAACCAAACTTAGCTTGGTCATATTAATAAGTTGTTCATGTTTAGGTGGAGCTCAAGCCGAGCTTTCACATATATGTCCATACTTCGAGCTTTCACATATATGTCCATACTTCTTGCTTAAATCTTTTGATAATTATATTTGACTTAAAACTTGATTTACTTATTCTAACTGAATGTCCATACTTGACTTGCTTAAATCTTTTGATAATTATATTTGACTTAAACTTGATTTACTTATTCTAACTGAATGAGCAATTCAACTACTTAATAAACCAGCTAAGAATTTGAATAAGTAATTGAATATTCATATAAAGTAATTATCAAATGATCTTACAAATCTAAAAAAACAAGCAATCAAATAAAATTTTAATTAATATTTAACTAATTTGCATTAATTAAACAATATAATATTTAAGTTACAAGTAAGCTTTATTGCAATCAAATAATATAAGTACCAAGAAACTATTTCATAGAAATAAAAAAATAAAAAAAATTGCATTAAATTAATATGCAAATTGATATTAATTTATAATATATTACAATCAAATATATAACTAAATCAATTCGAATTAATCAAAATTTAATTGAATAATATATCAAATATGATATAAGCTACCAGCAAGCTTATTATAAAATCTTTAAAAAGCTATGAACAATAAATGAATTTGTTCATTGACATAAATAAACAAGTTGAAATGTGTTTAGTTTATTAAACCTTCTAGTATTTAAAACATGTTCGAGCTTATTCACAAATTTGAAAAAAACTTGATTGAGTATTAATCAGACCAAGTTCAAGTTTTTATAGAGTGCATTGATCATTTACAACCCTAATCATAACAAACCTCAATACTGTCACTTCATCATGTCTACATCCACTATCATCACCAGCAGTCACAAGAAGGAAGCTTAATCCAACAAAATGGCATACTTGACTCTAATTTCATTAAACCTTCCACAACTCTCTCACCACAAGAGATGAAGATACCATCAAGGTTAAAGGCACAACTGTTAACAAAGCCGAGGTAATCATTGAGGACAAGTGGTAAAATCACCAAAGGGCGCATTTCAACATAAAAGGCTTCTATACCTACTTTGTTGTTGAGTTGAATCATGAACACAAGGAAGAAATAAACTTCCAAATCTCTAGAACCAAAAATTACCATTGAAATCCAGTACTACATGAAAGCTACAACACAATCACCTAAGTCCAATTCATGTAAATATTTTTAAATATTCATATGCATGATATATCACAACAGTGAATACCTCCATTTCGTATAAACATCTTTAAAATTTATTACTTTATATTCAAAATCATGGTAAATGCCTTCAATTTTTATTGAGTGTTTTATGCCAAAATGAAACACTTATGAACAATAATCTACTCAAATTTAATGTTCTGTCCTATAATAGCTTTATTTGGAAAACTACTTTTTTTTTTTTTATAAATTTTGGATCATAGGTGAGCAAATAAAACACATGATTGGTAATTTTAAACGTCATGTTTTACCATTTTTAATAGGTCCCAAATAAGAAATACATTACTACAATCTCGTACTGTTTTTTTAATTTTCACAAACAAATGGCCCCTCTGCCGCTTACTAAGTTGAAACAAATTGGGTGAAGACCGGATCGCATTAAGACTTCCGATTTACTTAAAGATGAGTGCAATACAAAAGTTAATTAACTATCCATGTATTAGAATCAACTCAAAGCACCCCCAAAGTTTTTAAAACTCATTACAAACCCTAAACCCCAAAGAACATCCTGACCTTGATCCTGACCCAAGCTTCACATCTTAACCTACTCGAAGATAAACACAATAAAACACAAGCCAGATCATAGAGACATACCAACCGCTTACCAAAAATCTACCAGAAATGACCGACGGTCCCCATCTATGTCGACGACAAAGCCCATCCACCCAACAGATAAACATATTTTAACAGATCTAGCAAAACAAAACAAAAAAAAATTGCTTCCAACGCAAAAGCAGAAACCCTAATTGGCCAAGCAAAAAAAAAAATAAACAAGAATGAAAATAGAGTCCTCACCGACGACGCCGGACCCGCCGGCCTTTCCAAACGACATGAATTATCTACAGAGCGGATCGATGCGCCTCAAAGAACAGATCGGGCGAGTCAGGCGGGAAGAGCGAGTAAGAGCTCGAGGGCGAACCTCTTTACGCCACGAAAAAGAAGAAATAGCCCTGAACCCTTTTATACCATTTTGGGCTAGGAAGCTCATACTTCACGTACGGACGGACGTGAATATCATTCAATCACATTTAATTACATGTGAAATTTATTATTATTATCTGTATAAAAAAAATAATATATTTTTTAAAAATTTAAGAAATATATGACATAATAGCACAGGCCTAAGTTTAGCATGACAATGGCTATAGGTTTTGGTATTTAAATAAAACTATAACAGTGATGAAAATTACTTCTCGATGTGGGACTAAATAGAAAAAAAAAGTATGCACATTTAAATGCATAAAAATAGGGGTGTAAACGAGCCGAACACGAGCGAGTCTCGTTCGTGTTCGGCTCGTTTATATTTCGAGCTCAAAAAGGGGGTTCGTGTTCGACCCATTTTCTTAGCACGAGCCATTCACGAACAAAGAATTGTTTTGACAACCCTAATCAAGTACCCATAAGATGTTTGATTGGGTCGAGATTTAAAAATTATTATTATTATTTTTTATATTAAAACATCATTTAAATGTAATTTAATAAATTTTATTATATTTTCTTAATCAATATTTTAATTAAATTATAAATCTTTGTTTCCTTGTAGTCACTTAAATTTTTTAAAATAGTACTCATCAATATATATATCCATATATATAAAGTTGGTGGTGGCTGGGGGAGCTTTATTAAGGTTCCTGACATGAAGATGAACCCCTGGTGCTGGCACACGTCTTAGTCTGTGTTCGGCTCGTTAACTTTTCGAACGAATTTAACGAGTCAAACACGAGCTTCTTAACGAGCCGCAGACGAGTTGGTCGCGGAACACCAGGCCATTTGAGCCCTACATACCAAACAATTAATATGTGCATTTACATACATATCACCCAACTCTTATAAATTTACATAAATAACATGGGGGTGGGAATTTTTTCAATTGGTATTTGCATTCATACCACCCACCCAATACACATGTGTTTGCATATCTCACACATATATCTATATTTTTTTTATAATTACAGCGCCCAAATAATTTTTAAAAATAATAAAATTTAAGGATTTTTAAGTACATTGTAAATAATTAATATAAAAAACTTGTAAGTGAATATTTTTATGATTTAGTTTTTAAATTCCTTAAAGCCAGATCGAGCAGAAAACGAACGAGCAAGCATTTATTGTGTTCGGCTCATTCATAAATCAAGCCAAAAATGATCTTGATGTCATTCATGTCATTGGTGATCATCTTCTTCGAATAATATGTTCTCATTTGAGGAAGATGATGACATGATTTTATTTTTTATGTGTTGTAATGTGAATCATAACTTATGCAAGACACATAAGTTTATTATTTGTAATAGATCTATTGGGCTCTATTAATTTTGGGCAATTATCTAAAAGAATAATAATTATATTTAATCAAATATCATTTGATTGCTCCAACAACTTTGTCCATATATAAATAAAATATGTTCATTTTATAGAGATGAAGACTTGGTTATTGACATTATAATAAATTTCATGTCATCACATAGATTGGAATTATCAATTTTTGTTAATTAATGGACTTGATGGGTCCATATATTGCATACAATAGCAAACCCAAGTGTCATATGATTGTATATTATTATTAGGCATGGTGAATGTAAGAATAATTCCACGTTGCATGAATACATGAGATTGAGCATCAAGATCAAATTTTATATTATGAAGAAATGTTTTAGAATTTCCTTATGATAACACATATACAAAATATATGTGTATATGTGTGTCTATATATATA